GCGAGCTGAGGGGGTCAAAAGACGTAGGGGTAGATGACGGAGGGATGAAGATAGGAAGAGAGAGAGAAAGAGGGGCGGAGGGTTAGGGTGGTAGAGAGGGGGAGAGGATGAAAGAGAAGGAGAGAGAGAGAGAGAGAGAGAGGGCTTGAGGACGGGGTGGCGATGAATCATACTAAGGGAGGTAATTTTTTATTTTATTATTTTTTTCCCTAATAGTTTTAAACATTCCTACAGCATCACCCCTCTACCTTTTGCCTCCCGACGGGTCCGCATGTCTCTCTGTGCGTCTGGCGGTAAAACTGTCTTCAGTATCTGAGTTCCGGCGATACTTTTACTACCTCGGCTGGAAACAATCGCTCTTGTATAATTGGACATCAGCTTCACCTCTGTGTTTCTGTTGCCGATTGAGTTTTTGTTGTTTATTTTTTTATTTTCTTCATTTTTAGATCAATGATTGTTGGAAATATTGCCCGTGGGAAATAGTGAATCGGATCCCTGTGTATTGAAGGCACTGGTTACAAACGAAAGCTAAGAATTTTTTCGTAAGTGATTAATTAGATTTATCAACGATAGACACGCTTGGCATAAATGAATTAAATCTACAATGCAAATCTCTCATCTTTTACGCTGTTCTTTCATTGTAAACAGCAGGACACACACACACACACACACACACACACACACACACACACACACACACACACACACACACACACACACACACACACCCCCTTGTTGACCTTTGACTCGATTTCCTGGATAACCAATAAGGTCTCTGCACGTCATTCCCTTGAGTACGGACCCTAACCTCACCAGAGTACGATGAATAAGATATGTTGAATCCTTGAATACTCATGACTTAACCTATTAAAAACACTGTTCTTATCCCATGAGTATGACCAGGTGTGTCTTAACCCTTTCACTGCGGTGACCTGTTCCCTTAGGTAAGACGACACGGTACACAGGTGTTTTAATGAGTAGGGGGGATATACAGGTGAGTTAAGACGTGGGTAATAATGAAAGGTGTGCTTATTGGAGGTGTTTTCTGTAGGGGGAGAGAGAGAGAGAGAGAGAGAGAGAGAGTGTATTACACCTTCCTACCTTGTGTGTTGTTAAAAGAGAGAGAGAGAGAGAGAGAGAGAGAGAGAGAGAGAGAGAAAAATAAGAGAAGAACGCGTATTCCTCCCCTCTACTAGCCTTTCACAACCATCCATCAGAGACTCTACCACCAACGCTTTTAGTACCAGCTGTTCTTGCAGTCCGAATCCCGTATATATATAACCCGACTATTTTCCTCTCTCACTTTCCTTGCTGCCGTCTGTAAATAAATCCCTTTCAACAGCACCTTCTGGAGTCTTCAATAACGGATGACTTGAGTTAATTACCTCTCTTAATGTTATTTTTTTAGTAGTTGCTTAATGGGATATTGTTCTCTCATCTCTTGTTCTTTATTACTTGTGTTTTGTCATATAGGGTTATGTATGTATGTATGTATGTATGTATGTATGTATGTATGTATGTATGTATGTTGTGTTGACATGTTAATTGTCTGTGTTTAATTTTGGTTTTGTTTTATTTTTTTCAGTGAACACAACAATACATTAAATTAAGTCACATTTGTATGACCTAGAAACTCTACTGTATAAGAGATGAAACAGAGTAAAAAATCTTCACCAGCTTAAAATATTGTTTAGCTAAGATATTTTTTTTCCTAACTGTTGGCCTAGCACTCCATACCTTCCCCTTCCCTCCCCTTACTCCCTCCTCCTTCCCCTCTCGTATACCTGTAACAAGCAGTCCTCAGCGGCTTACCTCCTCCCAGGCAAAAAAAATAACAAGGGGTGGATAGGGGTTGAGGAGAGGAGAGAGAGAGAGAGAGAGAGAGAGAGAGAGAGAGAGAGAGAGAGAGAGAGAGAGAGAGAGAGAGAGACCCCCTTTTTCAGTAGTTGCCAGATTGCCCCCGTGTTGAGTCTTTTTATTAGAGTCTTTTTGTTTATAGTTGAAGTATTTTTTTTACTACATTTGGCGGTAGTTGAGTCTCAAGCACCAATGTGATTCTCATTTCGACTTTATCAATTCCAATTTTTATCTTTTTCATTTATGTTTTCTTACCTTCTGAGTGTATTGTTTTTTTTCTTTTCTCTTAAACACTTTCATGACTTACGGGCAAAAATATTAAGTCAATGAGGAAAAACTGTTTTGTGGGAGTTGAGGTTTTGAGTCTTTAACTGTTAAACGTTCCAACTGTTTGATTGTTTTAGTTCCCGTGTCTTAATTTGTTGGACAGTTGTTGTGATGAGAGGGTTGAGGGGAAGCAACATAATCCAGTGCTGTGTTTTGAATGTTTCTTCACGACTGCTTTTGTGGGTTAGTTTTATTTAACTTGATATTATCGTAGTGACCAGATAGGATGACTTTAACTCTTCCTCATTCTCTTTTATCTCTGTCTCTCTATCTTCCTATCTCTCATTCTCTCTCTGTGTTAATTAGTCTGTATATCTGTGTCTCCCTCGCCCAGGTTCATTTCAGCTGGATTAACTAGGGCCGTGTGTGTACCTGCCTTCTCTTCCTTTGTTGATATGCCGACGCACATATTCACCACAAGCTTCAAACGACCTTCATTGCAGTCATGTAAAGCGGCCACAGAGCTTCCTGGTCTCCATATAGTTTAGAACAAACCATCACAAAATCTGCCTGAGCCCGCTGCTGCTCCTCCTAGTTTGCAAAGTCTGCCTAAGCCGCCATACCGCCTCGTGTGCAAAATTTACCTCGGCCGCCACACCCGCCTAGTTTGCAATACGGGTAGACTCTCCACAGCCTTAACTAAATTATCCCGAGGGACACCCGTATCCTTTCTACAGACGAAATATCGGGAACTTTTACTCTTACTCGGGATTTTTACTCTTCTCGGGAAATTTTTGCTCATGGGGTATTTCTATTCCCAAATCTGGAATTTTGGTTCATCGGAATTTTACTCATCAAGAATTTTATCCCCGACCTATCCCGTGTCTCACAATTTTCCCTTGTCCGTAAAAATAAATCCCCTTGGTAAGCAATCCGCGACTAAAGTTCGTCTAGGGTAACTTTTACACACAAAATATCGGGAATTTTTAATCTCGTGCAGTGTTTTGGGAGTACTGGTGGGGAAGGGGTAGGTGGTGAGGGGAGAGGCTGTGGTGAGGCTAGGGGCAATGATGGTGAGGGGAAGGGCAGTGGTGGTGGTGAGGGGAGAGGCTGTGGTGAGGCTAGGGGCAATGATGGTGAGGGGAAGGGCAGTGGTGGTGATGAGGTGAGGGACGGTGGTTTTGGTGAAGTGAGGGGGAGTGATGGTGTTGAGTTAAGGGGAGGGGCAGTAGTGATGGTGGTGAGGTGAGGGGAGGGGCAGTGAGGGTAAGTCTGGCTGACAGTTTAAGCAAGATTGGTGGGCACTGACCATGCGGGCGTTGTTCCCACCCCTCGACCCCCCCCTCCCCCCCCCACCCTACCAAGGTCAAAGGTCGTACATCACTGTCTTCATTCAACTTGAGGGACGCACTCTGTATGTGTACGTGTGTGTGTGTGTACGTACGTTAAAGTATGTATCTTATGTACAGTAGATCAATAAGTGGTAGTTGGTCTGTAATTATCTCTTTGCCATTTATCAGCTGTTAGATCTATATTTAGGTGTCGAGAGATGTAGAGAGACAGGTACCATGATCGCGGTGTTGTCTCTCATAGCGATAAAAGAGACAGGGATATATTTACATCATCTCTTGAGGACGGTGAACGGGATCCTTGGAGTCTTCAGCCATGACTTATTGTTTGTGAGTCAGTTTGTTTGTCTTGCGAAGGTTTATTATTATTATTATTATTTTTATTTGTCGATTTAGTTGATGGGTTTGTTCTTATGTCTGTTTGTATGTTAAAGTTCGGGCGTTTACAATAATGATTTGTTCTTTACTAAATTTTCACAGCTGACGGGGCCAATTGATAGCTACGGTATTGATATTAAAAAAAAAATTGAGGAACTTGACCCTAATACCACACCGAGTCTCACTGAGTAAATCAAATCAAATAACTTATACTAAAGAAAAAATTGCGTATATGTAAATAAATATCGACGTATACGACCCAGTTGATTAAGAACATATCCCCATTAATCACACCAGCGTTTAATGTAGGATTTTTTTTATTGTCGGTGTAAATTGATAGAGAGTAGGAGATTATGCTAGTAGAGGTCATCATTGCCAACTCAGGTCAAACGAGGTCACGCGCCAGTTATCAATAATGTCATTTGTTCGATTTTCATTGAAGGTTGGTTGTGTTTGGTTCAGTTTAATGTGTACATCTTGCCTGACCTAACTGATGTTAATTGGTGTGTGTTTCGCGTGTGAGGGGTTTTATTAATTTTTTTATTCGCTATTGTACGTTTTATCCGGGACAGTGACTTATCCCCTTGAGGACGATGACTTAACCCCTTGAGGACGATGATTTAATCTCTTGAGGACGATGGCTTAACTCCTTGAGGACGATGACTTAGCCTCTTGAGGACGATGACTTAACCTCTTGAGGACGATGGCTTAACCCCTTGAGGACGGTGACTTAACCCCTTGAGGACGATGACTAAAACAAAATAAAAATATACCATCAAGTTTACTTTAATATTACTTTACCTTTTTAAGAATCATAAAAAAAAACAAATATTTACCTGATTTACCTAAACAGAATTGTAAAAAAAAGAAAAATCAACATAATGACATAAACATCACATACACACACTACCTTACCTGCCACAAGACATAAACAAGCGTTAATAGACACTTACCTTTGCCTATACTTATAATGTATAAACAAATATTCACGGTGGGATTTTTGTGAGTTTGTGAGACACTGTGAGAGTTTGTGAGAGCTTGTGAGTGTGTGTGAGAGCTTGTGAGTGTGTGAGAGCTTATGAGTGTGTGAGAAACTTGAGAGATTGTGAGAGTTCGTGAGACACTGCGAGCGAGTTTTTGCTGACTCACCTGGTAGCCGGTGATGAAGCCGTGCTGGAGGTCTGCGTCAGGTGGTCGCCAGGTGAGGGAGGCGTGGGTGAGGTTGACCAGGTGAACGGAAACCTCCTGCGGCGGTCCAGCTGGTGCTGTGGGGGGAGCCAAGTGGCAGAGTGAGTGGCTGAGAGAGAGAGAGAGAAAGAGAGAGAGAGAGAGAGAGAGAGAGTTGCCGGAAGAGAAAAAGAGTCAGAAACGAAGAGGAAAGGGAGAGTGAGAATTAGTGGTTGTAATATGAAAAAAAGGGAGGAAGGGAGCGAGCTAGTGGATGTGACAGGGGAGAGAGACAGGGAGGATGGGAGGGGGTGAGAACGAGAGGGGAGAGACAGGGAGATAGATTTACTGTATGTGATAGGGAGGGAGGGGGGGGGGAGTAGGAGACAGGGAGAGTTTGTTGGTTTAAAGAGAAGTGATGTAAGGGAGAAGTGAGATATGCTAAGTGAGAGATGGGAGAGAGAATGAGAGGAAGGGAGATGAAGTAAGAGAATAGTGAGATGGAATGATAGATAAGAGAGGGAGTGAAAGAGGAAGGCATGAGATAGAATGGAAAGGGAATGAAAGTGGAAAGGTGAACTAAGAGAAAATAAAGAGTTCAATTATAGAGAGAATGATGAAGATAAGAGAGAGAGAGAGAGAGAGAGAGAGAGAGAGAGAGAGTGTACACAAGTACTAGAAGGCTGACAGACGCTACCCTTGAGTATGATGATGCCTTAAAGAAACTACCTTATACCCTACAAATACATCCTTATACCCTAAAAATACATCCTTGTACCCTACAAATACATCCTTATACCCTACAAATACATCCTTATACCCTAAAAATACATCCTTATACCTTTAAAATACATCCTTATACCCTAAAAATACATCCTTATACCCTACAAATACATCCTTATACCCGACAAATACATCCTTATACCTTTAAAATACTCGCCCTTGTCTTAAAATGACAATAACTCGCCAACAACCTCAGAGGTAAAAGTTTCCCCAGCCAATAACGATAGAGATTCACATATCGGCCATTAAGGGAAAGCTTTTATCGTAAATTCCCCTACAAAGTTCCCCATACCTTCCTTCTTCCCCGCTTGTATCTTTTTTCCCTCTTCCTCCATGGACACTAAACACTGCTAGGAAACTCAAGTGATATTACCTGTGTCCTCCCCCCGCCACCGATACCGAAAGATTATAAAGGAAATAAGAGGAAAGTATCTATAGTTTCCCCACCAGCAACGGGAATTCGAGGATGGTTTTATAGATTTTGTTTTTACGTCAAAATCGGTAACTCTAAGAAGTATCTGTTCCTTTCACCATCGACTTTAGGAAGTGAAGAGAAAGTGTTCCTTGTTTAACCATCAGAATCGGGAAATTCAGAGGGTATATATTGTTTTATCCCCTAAAATCAGAGAGACTTTACCCCCATCTCTCTCTTCCCCCCCCCTGTCTCCCCTGCCCCCTCTCTCACCTAACTCCTGTCTCCCTCCTACCCCCCCTTCCCCCATAATTCAAAGCTTTCAGAAGTGTTGAAGTAGAAAATCCCCAACTTTTTTTGTTTTCATTTCTCCTATGATATTTCAGTGGATAGTTTATCTACTTTTTTTGTCCCCTGCCCACATAAAATCTAGGGAGATTTCCCCTACTTACAATTAGCCAGATTCCCCCTACCCATATAGGAAGCAGGGAAATTACCTCAAATACGACGTGCTAGGAGTCTTAACCTATGACGTATAACCGAGGGTGGTTTTCCTAACCACAACCTCTCTCTCTCTCTCTCTCTCCACACACAATGGTATATGCTAATAGGGCAGAGATCGCTGGATGAATTGGGACTTGATGAAGTTCAATATCTTCCTCATTAGGACTGTGGCCGGCTTTGTGAGGCAGGGGAGGGGGTAGGGTAGATAATGAGAGGGAGGAGGGAGAGTGAGGTAGAAGAAGGAAGAAGGGAAAGTATTAGAGAGGGAAGAGGGGTAGGGGGAGTGAGAGGCAGGAGTAATGGAGGGAAGGAAGAATGAGAGTGAGGGAGGGAAGGGTAGAGGGAGTGAGGTAGGAAGGGGGAGGGGAGAAGAGAGGGAGGAAGTATGAGGTAGATGGTAAGGGAAAGAGAAAGGGAGGTGAGTGAGAGAGGAGGGATGAAGGAAAGGGGGAGGGGGGATGAGGCAGGTAGAGAAAGGAAGGGAAGGCAAATGAGATAGAAAAATCAGAAGAGGGAAAGTGAGAGCGGGAGAGAGAAGTTTAAAGAGCAATGAGGTAGAACGACCGGAGGGGTGAAATGAAGAGGGGTGTGAGGATGACCGAAAGGTAGGAATTAGGAGAGAGAGAGAGAGAGAGAGAGAGAGAGAGAGAGAGAGAGAGAGAGCCAATAAACTCGGCTTTATATCCTTGATTTACTTCTTTGTCAAGGAGGCGTTTTTTATTGGCCATAATATCATTGAGTCGTGAGATCAATATTGGCATCTGGGTGTGTGTGTTATCTAGCGAGGTGGAGTATTAGTGTCCAGAGCTGAAAGGCGGACCACAATACCACATAAAAGTGACCACCCAGGGATTATACACGAGCCTCAAGGTAAAACGGAATTTCTTTGAGTTTTTTCTCTTTATTTTTTTCCCTTTAAATATATTGCTAGGATGTGGAAAGATGTGAGGGAAGAGAAGGGATAAATGGTCGTAGAGGGAGGAGGTAGGCCGTGGGATAGGTGGATGGAAGGGAGGGAGGGAGGAAAGTTGTTGGAAGCGGGAGGATGGGGGAGGATAGGTGGGAAGGAAGAAAAGAAGGGAAGGAATTTGTAGGAAGTGATAGGATTTGAGGGGATGAAACGTAGGGGGGGGGATGATTGGATAGAGCGAGGGAGGGAGGAAGGAAGGAATGAAGGAAGTAGCCTATAAGGGTGGGTAGGTGGGTAAGTAGGTAGGAAAAAGAGAAGGATGGAGGTGGGAGGGAGATAAGGAATTGTGAGGAAGAGAAATGTTAGAAATTAAAGAAAGATGGGGTCAATGGAAGAGAGTGGAGAGGGACTTGTGGAAGGGGCAATAGGAAAGAAGGGGGGTGAGGGGCAAGTGCAGAGGACGGTAAAATGGAGGAAAGAGAAAGATTGTTAAAGGTGGGAGGGATAGGAAGAGGTTTTTGGAGGTTCAGGGAAGTGGGAGGAAGTGGTACCAGTGGTGTCAAGTGTTTCCGGTGGTGGTAGTGGTGGCAGTGTTTCCAGTGGTTCCAATATTCCCAGGGGTAGTAATTTAGTCCCCGGAAAAGCAGTGGAACAGACACAGCGAGGCAAAGAGGTACAGTGCCACATTATTTTCTCATCTTTTACGCATTTTGTCTGACACACACACACACACACACACACACACACACACACACACACACACACACACACACACACACACACACAAAATACATGGTTGTCATAGAGGTTCCAGGGGGCAGAATGGAATGCTTCCTTACCCTTGGGTCTTATGTCTACTGGCGTTCATGTCACCAGTGAACATTTGAGAGAGAGAGAAGTAATATATGGAACATTTTTCCGCTTTGTCTCCAGAATACTACCATTGGGAGCCCTGGAAATGTATACAATGTGGTTATGGTGTCTATATAAATTCATAAGTAAATTGAATGTATTTCAAGGAATTTGCCAGCTCCGATTTTCTTCAATGGCTTATCTACGGATTGTGAATGGTAAATGTCAAACACTATTAATTATCACATGGTGTTTTCTAATAAGATTATCTATGTGTGTGTGTGTGTGTGTGTGTGTGTATAATAATAATAATAATAATAATAATAATTAACGGTTTATTGAAAAAGTTCTGCAGCCCGAAGGCTGAAAATATACATTGGACATAAATGACTTATTACATACATTGGTGGTTTAACAAAAGCCTTCATTAGAGAAAGTGTGTGTGTGTGTGTGTGTGTGTGTGTGTGTGTGTGTGTGTGTGTGTGTGTGTGTGTGTGCCTTTAGAATAATTGTTTTTCGCCTTGTAGGACTGGTGGGGGAATAACCTCGGAAAGACATCACGAAGCACTGAGTCAGGTGTATGTGTCCACAGTGTGTACCCATGTACAGTGGTCCAGCTGCTGGCCGCTCGGTGTATGAGACAAGTTGTGGCGAGTGACACCTGATAACTAGCGGGTCCCTGGTGGCCCCCCCCTCACACACACACGACCAATAAAACGAAAATATAACTCCAGTTGGACGAATTTAACAACGAAATATTTATATCGCTCATGTAAACAACTGATTTTGGTTGAACATATCTTATAAAAACTCATCGTTTCCTTACTTTCTTTCTAGTAACTAATCTATTTAAATATTTTCACGCATATTAAGATAATGTTCACCCATATCCGTAATGTTTAACTTTCACAGCCATACACCACGCGTGCCTGAAGGGGTTAAAAGTCGCCAACCTCATTCCGGCCAGCCCAGTGCCCCTTTTAATAATTAATCAACTAATTGACTCTCCATAGGCATAATACTCTTAAAAGCTTGCCTGTAACCAGACCCGGTCACTCACACCACCAGCACCACCCGTCAGACTCATCTCTTGCCTACCTGTCATTCTTTCCTCCCTTCACCGTCTCCCACACTTTCTCTCCCTCACTTTCACCACCCTCTGTTTCCTATATGCTCTCCCTTACCGTTTTCCTCACCCCTCACCCTCTTTCTCACCTTCCCCTTCTCCCACACCCTCTCTCTTATCGTCTCCCATACCCTCCCCCCACATTCTCTCCGCCTTCCCCACACTCCCTCTCCCGCATGTAACAACACCGGTACCAACTCCACCACCACCACCACCGGGTTACAGGGGTCTTGGTCTTTCCGCTCCATCATCATCATCATCATCATCATCATCATCATCATCATCATCCAGTTGTAATGTTTGGACAAGTCGTCATCTGTTGCGTTTTAGCTGAGTAACGAATGTGAATTGTTTTTAATAAGCTGTGTATTTTAGTGCTCTCTCTCCGCTCTGTGTGTGTGTGCGTGTGCGTACGTGCGTGCATGGGAATGTGTTCAAAAGAGGATCAAAATTCCTAGTTTGAGTGAGAATTTTCGGAGCATGTAAACAAAACAGAGAGAGAGAGAGAGAG